AACTAGAAAGAAGAGTTAGCAGAGTTTGAAAACACAGCTAATGCAACAAATGAGTAGTATCATCTTTATCAAGACTTTTCTGTCTCCCCAATGATTGCCTTTTCAGATACCAATCCCTTTTGGGGATGCAAATTCCTGCCAGTGTATGGTGCATCCCATAAAGATTTGAAAGGATGCTTGTTTCCTGAGTGCTCGTGATGGTTTATGGCCTCCAGGGCTTCAGATTACACAATGCTCAGCCACTTTGGTGCTGGTGCTCGCACTCGTAAATCGCCGGAATCCAGTGTCGCCTCTTGGCGTGCCAAAGTGGCATTTGATTTATTTAGCATATTTATTTGTTTATTTTCTCATTTTACAACAAAATGAAAAACATTGTTTATGGACGCCAGATAGTCCGGTCGCTACGAAAAAGAGACTGTGCGCCGGCGCACCATTTGGGCGGGAGTCTTTGAATATTTATGGCGCGTTGTCTAACTTTGTAGAGGGTGGGGGGCAGTAGCAGTTGTAGCAGTTGTATTAGTGGCATCAAGTTGGATGGATAGTCTGGAGCTGGCCATTTTTATGCCGGGCACGTGGTGGGCGAGCGATTGTCCGTCCAGATTGCCCAATGGCTTAATTAAGCCGGCCGCGAACTCTGCCGGCATGCGGAACCTGGACCGGCTTAAACTATCAATCATGGATTTGCATTGCATGGGAATGGAGGAAGCTTGGGAGCTGGGGATTGGGGCGTGCCAAAGCTCAAGGACACGCAGCCCGTGCAAATCCGCTTAGTGTAATAACGTGTTTCGCCGTTTCCTTTTGCCGAGGAAGGGCCAAGGAAGGAAGGGTCTTTATCGCCAGAGCCTGCGGGCCTGTGAATGTGTCAACAGTTAAATCGATATGTTTTTCCCCTGTTGATATAGTTAACTCGCCTTTCCCCTTGCCTACTGCCTACCGCCTTCTTTGCACTGCCGCCTTGATTATGTGGCGCACAAAAGTTGACTGGCCTGGCCCGCATCCTGGCCTCAAATGTCCTTGGGTTGAATAACTGAAATAAAAAAGATATGCGATAAACTACATAAAAGGGTGACCGCTCTCGGTAATTGAGAAAACCCAGTGAGAAGTGTGTTAACTGACAGGCGGCCTATTGCCATGTTTTCTTTTTGTATTCCACAGCCAGCCGAGATTGGCCAGATCTGGACGGGATTCGGACGCGCCGCAGCCATGATAGGACGTTTGTTTCGCGCCCACGGCGAGTTCTGCGCCTCGCATCCCTGGGAGGTCATCGTGGCCCTGCTGACCATCACGGCCTGCATGCTCACGGTGGACAAGAATAATACCCTGGATGCGAGTAGCGGTTTGGGCACAGCCACCGCGTCAGCTGCCGCCGCCGGTGGATCCGTATCTGGAGCAAGTGGAGCCATACCACCATCATCAATAGGCGGCTCGGCCACCTCCAGCCGGCACAGGCCCTGTCACGGATGGAGCCAATCCTGTGATGGCCTGGAGGCCGAGTACAATGCAGCCGACGTAATCCTGATGACCATCGTGCGCTGCACTGCCGTACTGTACTGCTACTACCAGTTCTGCAGCCTCCATCGCCTGGGATCCAAATATGTGCTGGGTGAGTACTGCGTGAATTACATCACTCTGGGCCCCCGATTCGTTTTGGGGGGCACGTGTGTTGACCAAAGTGGTTAGAACATCCACCGGCATTGTGGAACTATTCCCCCCCCCGAACTATTTTGATGCCCCCCCACCAAAAAATAAACTTGAAAAAAACCAAAACCACACAAGATTGGAATGTTTGGCCAAGATTTTAGAGGTGGGGCAGGCAGAAGGCAGCAGGTAGCAACCTGAAGGTGCCCAAACGAAGCTCCCTGGCATTTCTCACGTGCGCTCTAAACGATTCGACCTCCGTCCACTAATGCGACTCCGACTCATCTCGTCGTCTCTTTCAGGCATCGCCGGCCTCTTCACGGTCTTCTCCAGCTTCATCTTCACGACGGCCATCATCAAGTTCCTGGGCAGCGACATCTCCGAACTGAAGTGAGTAACAATTAAATTTGGCTTAAAATATGCGAACTAATGCTCATTGGTTTTTAAATCCCTGACGTAAAAACAGTAGTTTGTAAAGTGAACTAAATATGCTAATTAGATGTGCAATTAAATATGCTTTCAATTCACTTTCAGGGACGCCCTGTTCTTCCTGCTGCTGGTCATCGACCTGTCCAACTCTGGCCGTCTGGCGCAGCTGGCGCTATCGGGCAGTAACCAGGCGGAGGTCACGCAGAACATTGCACGGGGACTGGAGCTGCTGGGACCAGCCATCTCCCAGGACACAATTGTGGAGGTGCTGCTGGTGGGCGTGGGCACGCTGTCGGGTGTACAGCGCCTGGAGGTTCTCTGCATGTTTGCGGTGCTCTCGGTGCTGGTCAACTATGTGGTCTTCATGACCTTTTATCCCGCCTGCCTGTCGCTGATCTTCGATCTGTCACGCTCCGGCGTCGATATGTCCGTGGTGCGTGAGAAAGCGAAGGGCTCGCTGCTGCTCAAGTCGCTAACCGAGGAGGAGCAGAAGGCCAATCCTGTGCTGCAGCGTGTCAAGCTGATCATGACCACTGGCCTGATGGCGGTGCACATTTACAGCCGGGTGGCTTTCTCCGGCGGCGACTACGACGCCGTGGACAAGACGCTGACACCCACGCTCACCCTGAATGTGAGCAATAATCGCACGGAATCGGGGGAAATCGCCGACATTATCATCAAGTGAGTTTCAGGGACTTGAAACCAATTCATTGACCAAATAACTTAACACCAACATTTTCCAGGTGGCTGACCATGAGTGCCGATCACATAGTAATCTCAATTGTTCTCATCGCACTAGTAGTTAAATTTATTTGCTTTGACAATCGTGATCCACTGCCGGATCAGCTGCGTCAACCAGGTCCAGTGGCCATCGCCGCCAAGGCTTCACAAACCACACCCATTGATGAAGAACAGGATAAACAGAAAAAGGATACGGAGATTCCAGCTATAGTCCGCACACTATTTACCATTGAAGACCAGAGTTCAGCCAATGCGTCAACGCAGACGGAGCTGCTACCTCTGCGCCACCGACTGGTGTGTCCAATAAGGCCACCACGCCCAATTCAGGAATGCCTTGATATACTCAACTCCACTGAAGATGGCTCTGGACCAGCGTCCTTGAGTGACGAGGAGATTGTGTCCATTGTCCATGCCGGTGGCCCTCACTGCCCACTATATAAAATCGAATCTGTACTAGATGATCCCGAGCGAGGAGTGCGAATCCGCCGACAGATCATCGCCAGTCGTGCCAAAATGCCGGCTGGTCTACTGGATGTCTTGCCTTATGAACACTTTGACTACCGCAAAGTGCTGGACGCCTGCTGTGAGAACGTTCTGGGCTACGTTCCCATTCCCGTCGGCTACGCAGGACCCCTGCTGTTAGACGGCGAGACCTACTACGTGCCTATGGCCACCACAGAGGGTGCTTTAGTAGCATCCACGAATCGTGGCTGCAAAGCGCTCTCCGTTCGTGGTGTTAAATCTGTCGTGGAGGACGTGGGCATGACACGGGCGCCATGTGTGAAATTCCCCAGCGTTGCCCGCGCGGCCGAGGCAAAATCTTGGATCGAGAACGACGCGAACTACCAGTTGGTGAAAACTGAGTTCGATTCTACATCGCGCTTTGGCCGTCTCAAGGACTGCCACATTGCCATGGATGGACCGCAGCTGTATATTCGTTTTGTGGCCATTACCGGCGACGCCATGGGCATGAACATGGTGTCCAAGGGCGCTGAGATGGCCTTGCGCCGAATTAAGCGCCAGTTTCCCGACATGCAGATCATCTCGCTGAGTGGAAACTTCTGCTGCGACAAGAAACCGGCGGCCATCAACTGGATTAAGGGACGTGGCAAGCGGGTGGTCACCGAGTGTACCATTTCGGCAGCCACACTGCGTTCCGTGCTGAAGACGGATGCCAAGACACTGGTCGAGTGTAACAAGCTGAAGAATATGGGAGGTAGCGCCATGGCCGGAAGCATTGGTGGCAACAATGCTCATGCCGCCAATATGGTGACCGCCGTCTTTTTGGCCACGGGTCAGGATCCCGCTCAGAATGTCACCTCGAGCAACTGCTCCACATCCATGGAGTGCTGGGCGGAGAACAACGAGGACCTTTACATGACCTGCACAATGCCTTCGCTGGAGGTGGGAACTGTGGGCGGTGGAACCGGCTTGCCAGGACAGAGCGCATGCTTGGAAATGCTCGGTGTCCGCGGAGCGCACGCCACCCGGCCAGGAGACAACGCCAAGAAGCTGGCACAGATCGTCTGCGCCACGGTTATGGCTGGTGAATTGAGCCTGATGGCGGCGTTGGTCAATAGCGATCTAGTCAAGAGTCACATGCGTCACAATCGGTAAGTTCATCATCTACATACATGTAATTAAAGAATGTAAGACTCTAACCTGTGATTCCTTTCATGCAGCTCCTCCATCGCCGTGAGCAGCGCCAACAATCCTCTCAACGTGACCGTGTCCAGCTGCAGCACCATCAGCTAAGATTGGGCGCTGCAGGGGCGCCGACTTCTACCCTTTTGTACATAGAGTCTCTTTAAACGTGCAGGCCAGGCGTTGCAACTCATTTCTTTAGGTGTTACCTTGTAGTTGAATGTTTTACAAATTGCTTGATAAATAACCTGATTGGCCTGGCCAAGGAACCGAACAGCAGCGTCCTCAAGATCGGCGAATCGCACCAAGGCAATGCTGAGGGCATAGGATGGGTTGATCGATATCCACTGCTGCTCCTGCTGCTACTTCCACTTAGATTGTACTTTTCATCGTAACGCTATTTTTTTCCTACCTATATAACTGAATACTGTGTGAAGATCCGCTGGAATCCACACCGGATGCCAGTCAGTGGAGCTATGACCAGGACTAGAGCAAGCGCTGAACTTGTAAAAAGTATTTCCTAAGCGAAAAGTAGTACATAGGGTTTGTATAGTGACTAAATTAAAACGTTTAATTAGAGCGAGTACGATTCGATATCGATATCTTAATTTCGGTTTTCATTTTTAACAAAAAAAATATATAAACACAAAGCGTAATGGATAAATGTCTTTTGTAGACGCTGCTCACGGGTTTACAAATCAGCACTTCATTTTATTTTTAATAATAATAATTATTAATAAATTATTATAATTAATTTATAATAATTCACGGCGCGTTTTATTAATTAGTGGTTGTTGTGTGAGTGTTGTATTTCTCCATGTATGAATCGTATAAAAAGAACAAGAGCGAGCGGCGGTTAATTCTGATCGGTTGACTCCTTGGCCTCGGCCTCGGCATCCTCGTCGCCCTCCTCAACGGGCGGCACAGGGACATCGGCACTGCTATCGGGCTGGACAATCAACTTCTTGGGACTCGGGCCGTAGCTGTCCGCCTCTGCTGAAATGGCACCTGACGGTCCGGGAGCAGCATCCTCATCATCGTCGTCGTGAGTCGTCGACTCCGGCTGCAAGCTAGCCGCTGCCTCAGAGGCGACGCCGTTTTTCGCCTCCTCTACGGAACACTCCTCGGGATGTGAGACCTTGCGCTTGGCAATCCGTTCGCTGAGCGCCTTGTGTAGCTCGGCAATGTCCGCCGGTCGGCCCATGGCCAGGAAGATCTTAACAACGCCAGAGTTATCGATGGCCGTTAGTCGTAGGGACTTTTGGCCGGCCCGCTCCGCCACCATGGCGGCCCAGACTTTGGTGTTGAGCAGCAGGCGCAGATTGCCAGAAGTGCGGAACACTACGCGCGAGTTGCCCCTCCCGTCCTTGGCGTCGTTCAATCGCAGACTGCCGCGACCTCGCTCCTCCCAGTTGCTGTTCAAAAAGGCGAATAGCTTGCAGCTCACGTCGATAATGTTGATCTCATCCTCCTCGCCGGTGAAGGTCTCAACCTCCTCGTATTTGCGCTTCTGAGCGCGGCTCTCTTCGTACTCCCGGGCAACGTCTGTCAGGCTCTTGGCCTCGGCGGACTCCTTGTTGTTGTTGCTGCTGCTGCAAATTGATGAGGAGGCAGCGGCCTCGCTGGTCTCTGTGGTCTGGGCAGCGTTCTGAATGACGCTTGAGAAGAGCAATGGCGCCGTCGACGACGTAGCAGCTGTGGAGGAGGAGGCAGCCTCCTGGGCTGATCCCGAGCTGCCCGCCGTGTCTGCATCCGGCTCAGCGGTGACCTGTTCAGCATTGGGGGCCACCACACGTTCATGCACATTCTGGCCGAAGACGAAGCCGCTGGACTGGACATGAGGCATATTGTTTTTGGCTGCGGCAAACATGCTGGAGCGCTCAATGCCATTGCTGCGCAGCTTGGTCAGCGGATCCGGCCGCTCGTCCACCTCGTCGTCCTCCTTGTCGCCAGTGGACTCGGCTGCCGCAGATCCGGTGGCCACCACCTCCTCGTCATCATCCTCGTCCTTGGACTCGCGCAGAAACGGATTATTCAGCAGGGCGCTGTCTTCCCCTGCGGCCGGGGATGTGGAACTATTGTTGGAGCCGCTGCTGTTGGCCAGCACCGCCGGTCGCAGAACAGCACCGCCCAGGCGAGAAGCCTTCAGGGTGAAGCCACCTCGGAAACAGTTAGTTTCGACTGACGCTTCTGGAAACAAGGGGGAAAAAAAACAAGACTCGTTTGTCAGTTTGTGGCTAACTCTTCAAGGGCACGAGATTCGCGACTTTTGGCGACTTTAGGTTACAGTTGGCACAACAGCTCGTTTTGCTACACTTACCATTATTTTCGGACATTGCAAACAAAGCTATTTGCAATTTTAAAATCTAAATTGCCAAATCTTTTACAGAAAAGAGCGTTCTGTGCAAAGCCTGCCGAAATTGTTATCGCTGGGTTATCGCTGCCACTATCGATACGCGCCGGCGATGACGCTTTGTTATCAACACTGGCTTTCAGTGTTGCTCAATTGCCGCTGAAAAACAAGAAATTTACAAGTCATCGACTGAGTGTGTTTGGCCAAAAGATCGTCAATAATTGCATTTGAACAAAGGATAACATTTAGCAAAGGCGAACCAACAAGCATACTAGACATGGCTCAGACTCTAGAGGATAAATCAATCTGGGAGGACGGCGAGGAGTCGCTGGGCGAAGAGGTGATGCGTATGTCCACCGATGAGATTGTGAGCAGGACTCGCTTGATGGATAACGAAATCAAGATCATGAAGAGCGAGGTGATACGCATAACGCACGAGATTCAGGCGCAAAATGATAAGATCAAGGACAACACCGAAAAGATCAAGGTAAGAATCACAATGAAACACCTCCCTGCCGAACAATCTCATTCGTAAGGTACTTCTCTACTAGGTCAACAAGACACTGCCCTACCTGGTGTCCAATGTAATAGAGCTGCTGGATGTGGATCCGCAGGAGGAGGAGGACGATGGCTCCGTCACCGTTTTGGACAATCAGCGAAAGGGAAAGTGTGCCGTCATCAAAACATCCACTCGACAGGCGTATTTCCTGCCCGTCATCGGCCTGGTTGATGCCGAAAAACTGAAACCGGGTGACCTGGTCGGAGTCAACAAGGACTCCTATTTGATCCTGGAAACCCTGCCGGCTGAATACGATGCCCGCGTCAAGGCCATGGAGGTGGACGAGCGACCCACAGAGCAGTACTCCGACATAGGCGGCTTGGACAAGCAGATACAGGAGCTTATCGAGGCAGTGGTGCTGCCCATGACGCACAAGGAGAAGTTCAAAAACCTTGGAATTCACCCACCCAAAGGTGTGTTTCTCACACAAAAAACATGTCATACAACCATATTAATCCCTGCCATTCACAGGTGTCCTTTTGTACGGCCCCCCTGGAACAGGCAAAACATTGCTGGCCCGTGCCTGCGCCGCTCAGACTAAGTCCACCTTCCTCAAGCTGGCAGGTCCCCAGCTGGTGCAGATGTTCATTGGTGATGGTGCCAAGCTGGTGCGCGATGCCTTTGCCTTGGCCAAGGAAAAGGCGCCTGCTATTATCTTCATTGACGAGTTGGACGCCATAGGCACTAAGCGTTTCGATTCGGAGAAGGCCGGTGATCGTGAGGTCCAGCGAACTATGTTGGAGCTTCTTAATCAGCTCGACGGCTTCAGTTCTACTGCAGATATCAAGGTGATTGCGGCCACCAATCGCGTAGACATTCTGGATCCTGCTCTGCTGCGCTCTGGTCGTCTTGATCGTAAGATCGAGTTCCCACATCCTAACGAGGAAGCCCGTGCCCGTATAATGCAGATTCACTCGCGTAAAATGAACGTTAGCAATGATGTAAACTTTGAGGAACTTTCCCGATCTACGGATGACTTCAACGGCGCCCAGTGCAAGGCTGTTTGTGTGGAAGCCGGTATGATTGCACTGCGTCGCTCCGCCAATTCGGTTACGCACGAAGACTTCATGGACGCCATCATGGAAGTGCAGGCGAAGAAGAAGGCTAATCTTAACTACTACGCTTAGGCTAGAAATTTGCAGTTTAACTCCACATTGTCAGCTCCCATTAAAATAAACCATGGAAATGTAACATTATGCTGTTTATCGACCCTGTTACACCCTGAAGACCGCCTTTGAATAGCAACCAAGGGCCTTCGAAAGTAACCGAAAACTAAGCAAATTAATTAAATTTACTAAAATGGGACGTACTGAAAGGAAACCGCGTACTGAAATGATTTCATATTTTTTAAAATAATCAAAAACATGTATCAAATGTCGATCGATTCATTGGTTTATCAGTACAACATTTACAATCTGAGTACGATATTTTTTAAATATCTAAAAAGGTCGGTTTTAGAATTAATAAAAAATATTACATCGGGCGAAATTAGATGATAAATATTTACACGCACACTAATTAACCTAGAGGGATGATTAACCAATTTACTAAGACTAACCAGTGGGATCGAGTGTGTTAGCGCCATCAGGCGCCGCAGATGTCGTGCCACTCACGCCTTGCGACGCTGCATCGGCACTGGACGCAGGGCTTTCTGAGGTTTCCGTAGCGGAGGACGTGGCCCCAGGAGCGTAAGATGAAGCTGCAGTAGCAGGTGTGGCTCCCATTTCAACGACACCTTCGACCACTCCGGCTACAGCAGCTGCTTCCGCTCCAACCGGCGCCAAGTTAACTGGCGCAGCAGCAATGTCATCTGCAGCTGGCTGTTGTGCCGGCTGATCCGGCTGTTGGAATGGACGCCTCATATACATGATGATGCCCAACAGGAGAGTCAGAACGGTGATCATATACAAGTCCCAATTGGCAGCAATGTTTTCATCCATGTAGAAGATGAACCTGTAAGGTGACTAAAGGGGAACAACATTAAAAACGTTGTCCACAGTTTATCAGATTCGGATAATCACCTCCTTGATTGATTCAATCGTGGCGAGCATTTGTAGCTTGAAAAGCGCAATGGCCACAGGCACTTTGGCGTCCGAATTGGTCTCGGCAGCCAAATCGTATAATCTCTTTGCCAGATGCCAGTCCTTCTTCATTCCGAGCCCTTGCTCATGCATGTATCCCAAATTGAACATGGCTTGGGCATTATATTGCTGATCCGATGCTTTCCTGTGGGGATTAATTCAGTCATAAGCCGTTTCGAAAATTGTTCATTTATATCCAACCAACCTGTAAAGCGCAGCGGCGGTCTCGAAGTCCGTCGATGTACCCCAACCGTAGTAATAATAATCGCCCAGCTTGACTTGAGCCGCAGAGTAGCCCTGTCCGGCTGCCCGTTTCCAGTAGTAGAAGGCACGAATCAGATCTTCGTGGCGATCGTTAAACACATGCACCTCCTTGCGGTCTAGTAAAAAGGCGGCATTACTTTGTGCCACCTCATATCCCACTTCGGCCATCAACGAGTACTGCATGTAGGCCTCGTCGATGCGGTTGTCTTTATAGTCGCTATAGGCGTGCATCAATCGGCTGCTCCAACGTCCACGCTCTGACACGGTCTTGAAGAACTGGAATTAGCAAATATGAAACGGGTTAGATAATAATTAACATATTAACTGAGCAATTAACTTACTTCTACCGCTGCTGGACACGAACGCAGCATTCCCATACCATAGGCATTCATCACTCCCAAATTATAATAGGCCAAAACATGACCTGATTGCGTGGCCAGGTTGAAGTACTTAAAGGCTAGCTTGTAGTCGGTTTTAACGCCATTGCCAGCTGGAAACGTTATAAATTTGATGGTTCTTAAAAACCTAATCATTTAATAAAAGTTTCATACACTTACTGAAATACATATTGCCTAGCTGCAGTTGCCCATCAACCCAACCTTGATCAGCCGCCTGAGTGAAATAAGATAAAGCCTTGATGGAGTCCCTGGGCACTCCTAAGCCGTTTAGATACATGAGGCCCAGTCCGCTTTGACCGACTGGATCCCCCATTTCAGAGGCCTTGGAGAAGTACTGAAAAATAAAATAATACATATAAAAAATAAACATATATTAGAAACTGTTATCAACGTTATACGCACCTTAAATGCTGCATCATTATCGGCCTTGATTTGATCACTTCCTTCCAGATAAAGCTTGCCCAAAAACGCGAACCCAACTGCATTGCCTGCAGTGGCGGCCTTTGTGAAATATTCCAAAGCCTTTTGGTGATCCTGCTGGGTGACCTTGCCGCCCTGGTAATATAGCTGACCCAATCCCACCTGGGACTGGATGTCGCCTTTGTCGGCCAGCAGTTTGTAATAGTCGACAATCTCAGTTTCAGGGCTGCCGGGATTCTCTAGGTCGTCCAGCAATCTCACACGATGCACAACCGGCCCATTGGCGAAGGTTATTTGGGAAGCCACTTTCTTGGCTACTCGCTTATACTGGACCAGCGCCTTCTCACAGCTAATGGGCACATTGATGCCATAAAGATAGCGATAACCCATGGCCATTTGGGCCAGAGTATTATCACCGAGGGCAGCCAGATTATAGTGGATCAATGCCAGGGGCTGGCTTACGTTTTTACCGCCAACGCCCGCTGAATAAAGGAAACCAAGGCCCATGTGAGCCTCTGGGACACCTTCTTTGGCCAGACTCTCAAACTCATCGGCAGCATAGTTAAAATTAAGTTCCATCCAGTGACCCAGCAGGACGGCCCAGGCTAGTTCCGCCCTAGCCTTGAGGTGATTAAAGGCGGCAGCCTTCTTCAGGAGAATGAAGGCTACCCGCTTATCCGTGCTTGGCTTGGCTAACATGTACATGGCGTTGTCGTACACGGTATGAGCTGAGAGAAGCGTAATCAGCAAGTGCATAACACATACATCGATGCCCACTTACCTTCTAACTGGTCTGGGGTAAGTTGCAACACTTCCGTGGGCTGGCGTTTTGTTATGATGCGCTCGATCTCAGCTTTCAGCTTTTTCTGCTTCATCACACTGTCCTTCCACAGGCGTTCGAGCAGGGCAGCCGGCATGATCTTCGTCTTGGGAGGAAACTCCGTGGACTCCTTGGGCTTGGCTGCCTTGCGTTCGTTGCTTTCCGATGGGGCCCGTGACTCTGACTCCGCCGTGGTCACCTCCTCCGCCTCCGCCTGAGTGGAGGGCTCATTGGGCAGCGTTGCCGTCGCTGTCCCCGTGCCCAATCCCGTTCCGGTTCCCGTACCCGTACCTGTGGCCGTAGCCGAGGCCATACTGCTGCCCGTGCCTTCAGTGTTGGGCCCTTGGAGCTCCTCCGCCCGCAGCTGCCAGGCGAGAAGCAGCGCCAGCAGGCACATCCAGCTGTTGGCCTTCATCGTCGCCTATCTGCTTGCTCGATGGCGATGTGGACTTCCAAGATGTATAACGGCAATTTTGATCTTCGCCTTTGCTTCGTCTATATGGTGCTCTTCCACTTCTGACGTGTTGTGTTATTTACTTCTTTCTTGGCCCGCAGGGTCAGCAAAAAGATGGGATTGCTATTTCTCGGTGCATTCGTTGGAATTACTGGTAGCGCATTTTGGCTACCTCGACTTGGTGGTGGTTGGGAATGCCTAGGCTGTCTTTCCCTAATTTTTCACACGTAAGATTCTTTTTTAATCTTTTTTTGTTGCAATATTTAGTGCTGTGAACGGGCCGATGTTTGTCTGCCAGTGCTGCAAAGCACCGCGTCAAAAACAGTCGTTTCCAAGGGCGTCTCCAAATATATTAACGGGGGTCCAAGTGCAGCGGATTTATCAGTAGAAAACATATTCTCTATCCTACTGAAAGCAATTGAAGAAGACTTATCGATATTTAGTTAGAATGATATCAAAATACAATCACTACTATTCTTTATTATTACAAATCACAGAGTATTGCAATTTATTCAAGTCCAACGGTAAAACATTAAATTTTAAAACAAAATTTTCTAAAGCTTTGTACAACACTTTCACATATTTTAGCACCAAAATGTATGAAATTATGCTAAACAACTATTTCCCGGGTATCTGCGGTTATTAAATGCCTAGGATCTATCTAAATTTTTTAAGGAGTACCCTGACAAATTCCCGGGGTTTCCTAGCTACGCCCCTGAATTTTCCGCCTGTTGTTTCGTTATGCAAAGGAACGTGCAGGTTTAACAGAAGGAACTCTGAATTGGAGCTGTTGACGTGCGATCGAAGGTGTTAATTCCGAGCGGGACTAATTAGAATACGAGGAAGATTTCCACCCGTGTGAATCACCAACTTTTGTCTCGTCCAATCCCGTCAGCCACTGTGCAGCCGGCATGGAGATGAGTGTAAGTAGAAGCTGCGAAATGCGTGCCAGACGCCCAGACTCAAAAGTCACAGCCCAAAACCGAATTGAAAACCGAAACCAGTTCCAAACCGCGCTTCAATCGAGTCAGTCGCACAGCGAATCACTCTTCGACCTCAGCCTTTAGTGCTGGTGAAAGTTACAGCTGTTGCTTCGCTTCGCTGACCCAGTATCCGCCACCTGTCCCCCTATTCCTAATCCTCCGCCGGACACCTGTTATTCCAGGCTGCCATGTTCGCACGCGTGTCCTTCTACCCCACCCTGCTGTACAATGTCCTGATGGAGAAGGCCTCGGCCAGGAATTGGTACGATCGCATCGATGAGCATGTGATACTGGGAGCCCTGCCCTTTCGCAGTCAGGCCAATGACGTAAGTAGCCCTGCGAAACCAAGCCGAGAATCCTTCATAATTATTGTTTAACTACCCAGCTCATTGAAAAGGAGAACATGAAGGCGGTGGTGTCGATGAACGAGGATTACGAGCTAACAGCTTTCTCCAACAACACGGAAAAGTGGCGGAAGCTGGGCATTGAGTTCCTGCAGCTGGCCACCACCGACATCTTTGAGTCGCCCAATCAGGAGAAGCTCTTCCGCGGCGTGGAGTTCATAAACAAGTTCCTGCCCGTCAAGCAGAGGATTGACGGTCTGAGTTCCTCTTACCAGCCGGAGAACGTGGGTTCCGTCTATGTGCACTGCAAGGCGGGTAGGACGCGAAGTGCCACTTTGGTGGGATGCTACCTAATGATGGTGGGTTGATCATCCATTTGCACAAAGTTGTATTAAAGCTCACAACTTTTACTTTGCAGAAGAACGGATGGACTCCGGATCAGGCGGTAGACCACATGCGTCAGTGTCGACCTCACATTCTGCTGCACACCAAACAATGGGATGCCCTCCGGTTATTCTACACAAACAATGTGCAAGCCAAGTCATGACCAAGACTGGACAATAGATCAAATTTATTGTTAACAGTAGATTACCATACGTAACAAAGGTGGTGCCTGTTACCCAACTACTTTAGTGCTGATTTTCTTGTTGAATACACAATTTTGTACAAAACCCACTGTGTGCAGCTGTGACTTTTTACAATTCTTTATTTAATGCTTATCGCGAAACTATGAATAAATAACTGTTGTTTCGTGGTTCGTCAACTGGTTGCTACGTTGACGCTTATGCCTTCTGTGCATCCTTGCCCTTAATGGCCCAGAAGCGCTTGATGCCATTGGCCAGACCCACATCGTTCTGGATGAAGTAGAATAGACCGCCCAGCGTAGCCACCGAGATGATGATCAGCGCAATGTGGGCTACCTTGGGCAGGACGTTGCCAACGACAGATGGCCGCATGTAGTCCACTACCATCGCCTCAACACCCCTGTGTTTGGCAAGCGAGGAATATATCAATAATGGTTTCATTTCACTTAAGATATCTTACCAGTGAGTGTGGATGACGACGGAGATGGCCAAAAGCGCGTCCAATACCTGGGATGGGGCTATGAAGGCAGCTGGAATGACGGCCAGCAGGCCGGCGGACACAATGCGCTCCACAGTCCAGAGCAGGGTGTGGCTTGATCCAGCGGCAGCCATGCGAGGCGCACTCACGGAGATCTCGCGCACGACGGGCTACATAAGCAGTCGGGGATTACCAATTAGTAAGAGCAGCCACCACTGAACTTTCAACTCCAAACACTCACCGCGGCAATCTTGGCCACGGCAAGGGGCTGGACCACCGCCTTCCGCTGGACATTGGCCACCAGGGTGGAGTAGCTCTTGAGGGGCGTGATGCGCGCCGACTTAACAAGATTTGCGGCTAATTGGGATTCCAACAAACGGTTTGGTTATATAATGAATGTTGTTTTGCGGCCAATAGTGAGGCAATTGGCCATCCAGTGGGCCCTTACCATTGCAACGGACAGCGCCACGCAGGAGCAACGAGAGGGACATGTTGGGATTTGTATAAATTGAGAATTTTCAGCTCAAAATAAAGATTCTATCGTTCCGTTCGTTTCGGGCCGATTTGTCTAAAAAAAAATTACACAGCACTGCTTATAGTGTAATCAGCTGTCATCGATTTGTTATCGGTAACAGTAGTGGGCAAAATATTGGCACAAGCCCCTTTAAACATTTGTATATCAACAATAACAATATTAACAAAAAGTTTTTTGCAAAACTATAGAAATTTACAAGATATATAAAGAAGTGAAAAATACCACAACATTTTTCAAAAGTGTGGGCGTGACAATTTTGGGCGGTCTGTGTACCTTACCTTAATAAATACCTTACCTTACCTTGATAATTACAAAAAAATTAAAATAAAAAAAATTTCTAAATTTGAATGCAGTTTTTTAGAGAATTGCTCCAGAAACATTTAGAGGTATCCCACTTTAAATTCCGATTGAGATTAGTTGAGTTATGGGCTTTAGAACTTCGGCCTTTGGACATTATTGAATTTCCACAACACCATAAAATCAAAAAATTACAAAAAAATCTAGAAAAAATAAATAAATAAATAAATAAATTTGAATGCAGTTTTTTAGAGAATTGCTCCAGAAACATTTAGAGGTATCCCACTTTAAATTCCGATTAAGATTAGTTGAGTTATGGATTTTAGAACTTCAGCATTGGGACACTTTTTAATTTTTTTTAATTTCTCCAACATCATAATATCACAAAATTACAAAAAAATCTAGAAAAAATAAATTTCCAAATTTGAATGCAGATTTTTAGAGAATTGATCGAGAAACATTTAGAGGTATGCCACTTCAAGATCCGATTAAAATAAGTTGAGTTATGGACTTTAGAACTTCAGCCATGGCACATTTTTGAATAAGGTGTACAAAAATATCAGGAACAAATTAATTTAGATCGAGGCATTTATTTAGCTGCTTTATTTATTTGCACAAAACATTTGAGATTCGTTTGGGACGGAATGGCTGTTACAAGTACAAATTGTCATCTTAAAAACTAAGTTTAAAATTTGCTTAAAACTTTCTAAAATTTGCATTCTAAGGCACGCAATTGCTCCTAAGTCACTTTATGTTGGTTGTAAATATTTTTAAATTTCGTTGGATGGAATAGTTAAAAAATACTTTTGATCTTAGTAAGGTAATAAACACCTAACCAGGACAAAGGCCACAATTACGAGGCCAGTCAGTTTTGAATTGAGTGTCGCTGCTCCTGCTCGGTAAAAGTCCCAGTCGAAAATGATATTGGAGGCATCCGACGTCTTCCATGGGTTCAATCCGTCATCAAAGTACATGGGACAGTCGTCGCGCTCCCTTTCGTACTCCACGGCATCGATGGCTACGGCGGCACCCTCCGAGTGGTTCCACGAGGTCACGTCCTGCTCCAGTTTGCAGAATGCACCCACAGCCTGCGACATGAGGACACGGTTGAGGTCAGCGCGTTGATAGACCCAGCAGCGATACTTGGACAGCGGATCCAGATCATCGTAGGTGATCAGGTAGGACTTCAGGTTCTCCTTCCAGAAGCCAATGCACTTCATGCGGTAATCGGGATCACTGTAGATATCAACGGGACGGCCCAAGTGATCCACCGACAGGCAGTAGTTTTCATCCACCGCCAATTCCTTTTGATCAGTATCACAGACCGACAAATCCGAGATGTTTTGCTTGCAATGGATATCGGGACGCGGACTCAGAGTGACGCCACCAAGAATTCTGTGAGGTATATCAATTAGTTTCATATTTCATGTTACTATTGCAAACACTACAAACCTCGTTCTGAATGGATGTTCTCCTCGCTGCGTAAAGTTGAATTTTCCCGCAACGGGGCAACGAACCGGCACAGGATTTCGAGCAAGAAACAGGTCATATTTCCATGCCTCCGAATTGGGGAACTGTACCCAGGAGCAGACTGTACTGAAATCGTCCTTGATCACAGCCAAACCCTTTCGGTAGCGAATGATGTTGTGGTGGCGGGGCATAAAGTCAAAACACACGTAATCTTTCTGGCAACCGTCGACGGTAAGTCGAGCCATCATCACACGATTACCTCGTCGCTCTCGGCAAACATAGATGGTCTTTCGGTATCGAGCTTTATCCGGATAGTACGTCTCGTTGATGTGGGTCTCACTGATTGACACATCGGCATCAATATTGGCAGTGTTCACCCATTCGCCGCTAAAGTTTTGGGGTAGCGTGCAGCCAGGTTCCACAAATTCGGCCTTCACGGGCGTCAGCTTCAGACGCTCCGGAGAGGTTTCTGGCGTCTTCAGGGTGTTACACTCGGCCGTAATGGAAACGCCCACGTACAGATCGTCGTCACGATTTTTGAGGAAGCAGCGGTACTTCTCATCCTTACGCGACTCCTTCGTGTTGGCCACTGCAAAGTAATGGTTCTTGCCCACAAACCAATCGCCCAGGCAGCTGAACTCCACGGTGCCGGTGAATGTGCCCTCCATACCCTCGCACTGCTGGTAGGTGACGTTGAACTTCTGGTTCTGGATGAGGAACTGGGTTCCCGCCGTTTGACAGGACTGAATGCGAGCATCAGGCTTATCGCATACGCCCGTAAATCGGAAACGGTTCTGTAATGAAAATTCGACACAAGATCACTTATTTGAACGAATCACCATAGAAATCCACTCCCAAAATTGAACCATGAACAAATTAAGTTACCTGGTAGGTGAAATGCCACACTCCCTCCAGCGACGAGCGGCAGTTGATGGGCACAAAGTTCTCGTTGAAGAGGGTGATCAGCTGCTGGTCATCCTTAACACCACGACACACATAGTCCACGGTGGGTTCCTGTCCAGCGGGTATGCCCACGCAGGGCCCCTCAAACTTCTCGAACACATTGAGGGTGCGGATGATGGTCCTGACGCAGTGGTAGCAGTCCTTGGATCGCTCCTTGAAGACAAATGAGTACTCATCGCCCTTGTGACGCATGTAGTTGATGCAGTAGCCTCGGCTGGACATCGAGGTGGCGTCGATCACCGTCAGCGTGGGCAGGCCCGTTTCCCAGGAGAACCACGATCCCTGCAGGATCTTTGGAATGATGCAGTTGTCCTTCTGCACCAGGTTGTACTGACCGATAGCTGTAAAATGGATGGGCGTTAGTTTCGGCTGGCCAATTCACATGATTCAATTGGAGCCTTGGGTGTGGCTTGGGAATCGAATCACTAACCTGAGCCCATAAAGCCCGCCAGGCAGATAGCAGCCACGTAATAATGCATTGCGTGTTTGGTGTCCTCAGAACTAACAACTAAGCATATTTAACACAATTTTACTTTAATATGGAAGCAACCAAAGGCGGTTTTAGACCGAAACAATGGCAAAACACGCAACAAACACAAGTTACCAATAATAGGCAAAGCCGACTTTTTCAACACTGGCTTTAACGCTGCCTAATAGCTATTAATCGATTCTTTATCGAATCGATCGTTACTTTTTTAACTTGAAAAATAAAGAATATTTAAAATTATATATATATGTTTATTAAGAGTTTTCCTGATAATATGGGTTCAAGTTTCTGTTGGATACACTGTTTTTATACATAATAACTGCTGCGTTGTACACACATAATTAAGAGTTCTACTGGAAAAAAAATCGTATGCTTTTAAAACGCTTCTTAGACATACTCTATAATCTTAATGACACGTACTCAGACAACAAAGAGCTGTAAAAGATTAACCCAACCAAACATTTTGTAATGAAAACTGAAGATTACTTTTTCACATTTTACATTAGAACTTTTTAAGCGACTAAGCGACTAAGATCATTTAAATGTATGTTAGCTATGTAGGCAGTAGTAGGTATTATATTACCCGTTTTTTGGACGTTTTTGAAAGGTATCATATTATAAAAAGATATAAGATATAATAATTGAGCTTCATTTATAATTAGAAAGGTGTGTACATATATATGTTTGTATAAACACGCTTTGGTAACCGAGGGTTAATGGTAATGGAGTCTGGAGCCCCAGAAACGAGCACATCGAACCCGAGCAAGAACGCCCCCGCAATTATTCAGCGGACTGCAGTTTGAACCTTTTCGTCACTTGCTCGGAATTAGCACAAAATGGTTCGTTATTACCGCAGCTAATCGGGTCATATTATGGTGCGATTATGATCGCTGAACAGATATTCCTAGAATGTGATTCACATGCACGGAGTTCCTAAGCTGCAGCCATCATATAGTACGTTCGAACTTTGGAGCCCCACACTAGTGCGAATGGCGTGTTTGCTGATAAGTCCGGCGGAGCGTCTAGGTGAACGGTGTTTGTGCCTCCATCCACGCCTTATCTGCTGGCAAAGGTCAGCTTGGGCTCCGAGCATGATCGGCAATCAGACATCGGCGATTTGGGGAGCCAAGTCTATATGATAGCTGCTCGATCGGAGGCCTGCCAGTAGCAATTGAGCCGGCGACAGCAACAGTTCTCGCATCTAATCCGAATCTTTCCGTGAAATCCCAACACAAATGGGTTAGTGACACGCGCTGTCTGGGAGTTTTATTCCCCCTTTAATAATACGATCTTTAAATCCAATCAGCAACTGCAACGAGCGGCAGTGGACTCCATCTGGAGGCCATCGATCGCATCGGATCCATTCCCCTGGTGGAATCTAGTGTGAAGCGGGTGGAGACCATCTACGACAAGGTGAAGAACAACAATAGGCTATTCTCCTGGTACTTTGAGACCGCGGAGGCCACCATTTCGGCCGCCTACGAAACCATCCAGCCGGCGGTCAAGCTCTTCGAGCCATCCATTCAGCGTCTGGACAACGTGATGTGCAAGAGCCTGGACATCCTGGAGCAGCGCATTCCCCTGGTCTATCTGCCACCCGAAATGGTAAGTAGTCTGCCGGTAACTCTCACCCCTTCGCTGACAAAAGGGCATCCTTCTCTGCTTGAAGATGTACTGGAACACCAAGGAGTACATGTCCGATCATCTGGTGCGTCCGGTTCTGAAGCGCGCCGATTCCGTTAAACAAATCGGAAATGCTGTCCTGGAGAGTCCGCTCACCCACTATGCAGCCGAACGCATTGATGGCGCCTTCACAGCCGGCGATAAGTTCGTTGACAAGTACCTGGTGCCCATCCAAACGGATCAGGATCAGACCGATGGTGAGTGATGGGGCTTACACCACAGTGGGCTCTCATATCTGGGTTCATCTTCCATCGCCAGTGGGGATTTATTACTGGGCATTCTTGACTGATGATCTCATACTAAACTAACTTTTTATAATTCAAAATTGTTATAGTGAAGAAATTGGTTTCGGCCCTGAATGATAACTTTTCGCCGATTCGACAACAGTTTAACCGAATGTTTGGCCACAAAAGTTAGTATACAAAATTGCATATTTCCCCTAATAACTAGCGATAATCGAAATCGTAGGAAATTACAGGCCTATAGACATGCTTTATTGAGAAAGATAGTGTAGTTTTACGTGAAAATGTGGAAAGCAAGTGATTTGAAAAGTCAGCATCCAGGCAAATCACCTCAAGGTGCACTCATCTCATAGTTTATTTATAAATGCTCACGTTGTCGGGGAGGTTATCTCTGGGAATGGCGGATTCATTGAAACCTGAAGCAAGAGAAGAAGCGATAAGCTCTGGCCGGGATTTGCTCTCTCGTGATCAACCAAATATAAGACACAATCCGAGTGCGCACACACTTATTCCAATATCCGCCTTGCAGCCCCACAGGAGGATGATAACGATACTGTGCCGGACGAGAGGGGAGCCATCAAGGCGATACATCATGGTCAACGTTTCTCCCGCAAACTGAAGCGCCGGCTCACCCAAAGAACCATCGCAGAAGCTCGCGCCCTCAAAAAGCAGAGCAAGGAGGCGATCCACGTGCTCATCTATGCAGCAGAACTGGTCAGTAAAATTCAAGAACTTATTCCTTTTCCGTATTCCATTAGCTTCGAGTTTTTTGTAACCACAATTATAATTTGTTACTATAAAACATTGTGGTTTATTCGCGTAACCCATATAACACTTATAACCGAAACCCATCCCACAGATTGCCACCGATCCAAAGCAGGCCGTTCAAAAGGCCAAGGAACTGTGGGTCTACCTCAGTGCAGATGAGCCCGAGAATCAAGCGAGGCCCGCCACTCTGGAGCAGTTGATAGTGCTACTGACCCGCGAGTCGGCCAGGCGGGTGGTTCACCTGGTGAACTTCAGTGCTCATGTGGCAGCCAACATACCCAGGTTGGTGGATCCCGCTTCAATCATTTCTCCTAGTGAACCCTTTCGCCCAAACCTTACAGAAACCTGGCACACACAACGACAGAGGTGGCCCACCAAATCATCTATATCAACCACCGCATTGTCACAATCTCCCGGCTGGACAAGGTTAAAACCATTTCGAAAGAGGAAGCTGAATCTCTCTTCAAGCGCATGCTGGCGTTCTATGATAGCCTTCAAGGACTGACCAATGCCTACCTGGTAAGAGAGGATTCGATGCTCGCTCTCAGACGGAAGATCACTCTTAACATATATTTTACAGGAACGCGTGGCCAGCTTTCTATCCGGACGCATGGAAGCCGAGAAGGTGACGGGCAGTGATGGCGGCAATTCCAACCACAGGTCCTCGCGGAGAAGGCAGGAGCCAAACAATTATTCAGCCAGCCACAATAACATCAACGGCGTCTACTAGCATTGAATTCTTTATTGCTATCGTATTCTTATTTCTCATGATAGAGTTCTGTTTCTCCGTGCATATACGGAAAATACAGTAAACGTTCTTGTACATCTATTTTTAACGAAATGCATTTGCCAATAATATAAGCTTAGCTTCACGATTAACAACACGTTTTTATTTTAATACTTAACGCACGGTTGATTCTTAGACACACTTTTTAGGTATTGGGAGTACTTTTTTTCTTTTACTTATATTAGTGAAGCATGAGGTATTGAAAGAGCTTGCCTTAATTTATTTAAAGAAGTTCTTTTTGTAGTAATTAAGCTCGTTGATGCTTTCCATGATGTCGTCCATGCTGCGATGCGTGAAGGTTTTTTTGGGAGCGGAAGACAGCAATTCAGGACGCCAACGCCTGACCAGCTCCTTGATGGTGGACACATCCACTATGCGGTAATGCAGGTAATCATCTACCAAAGGCATGCATTTTCTGATGAATAGTCGGTCCATGTAGACGGAGTTCCCGCCGAGCGGACAGGCGCGCTTTGGTACGTTCCTCTCGAGATAGGATAGCACCAGATTAGAGGCTTGTTCGGGCTTTACATCTGAACTTTTGCATCGATCTACAAGACCAGATTTGTAATGTTGTTCCATGCACCAATCGTTCATCGTGTCGTAGACCTCCTGCGGATGGTTGATGGCGAAGCAGGTTGCTTCGGACTTTACATTCAGGTCCTTGTCCGTAATGATGCAGGACACCTCCAGGATTTTGTCCTTTTCAATGTCCAGCCCAGTCATCTCCAGGTCCATCCACACGATGTCCGTGTCTAAGCCACAGGCGCTGCTCATTCTGCTAGTTGAATTGGAAGTGAAAGAGCTCCGAATTTGGCGGTTCAGAAGCAAGCCCACGCTCCGAAGGGGAAAATACATTTATAGCTGTTGCGCAGGTTTATTTATTGCGAAATGTAACGATACGGCGGCTACCATGTGTTCGATAAGTTTATGATATCGTTACGGTAACAAGTGGTCACATTGATGTGACATTGTGCAACACTAAAAGAGGGATTCCTGTATTTTTGCAAAATGATAAATCTAATCTAATATTGTGTTGTACCCAAATAAAAGATGCTTGCAAAATAATTTGTAAAAGCATTCTTGTTTTGGCCGAACAACGTCGACATAAATTAAAATTAAAGTTTATTATTACTATGTGTGATAACAACTTGGAGCCATTTTAACTACAGCGAACGGTAATTCCCAACGAACCGCGCACGGTCACACTGTTGACTTGAGGTTTTTATCAAAAATTGTTGTAGGGAAAACGCAAAAAGCGTCGTTATTGTTGCAGCATGTCCTCCTCGTCGGCCAGAGACCAACCGGGAACCTCCCAGGACACCTTTGAGGATTTCTACACAGAAGTAAGTGTGGCGGTCGGAACCGCAGGCTCAGCGTTTTGTACTGGGTCGGGCTCCTCCCACGGCAACCGCTCCAAATAAACTAAACCATTATTATTATGTACACTTTAGTAAATGATTTTGTGCCTATATTGCAGGTGAAAGAAATTGAAAAACGTGATTCAGTTTTAACTCCTTCTCAACAAATTGATCGTTTACTTCGTCCAGGTTCAACGTACTTCAATCTCAATCCGTTTGAGGTGCTCCAAATCGAGCCCGAGGTCGAATTGGCGGATATAAAAAAGCGCTACCGCACCTTGTCGATCCTCGTCCATCCAGATAAAAATCCCGACAACCAGGAGCGCGCTCAAATGGCATTCGATATTGTGTCGCGTTCCTGGAAGATCCTGGAAAACGAACTCACGCGCAAAAGATGTCTGGAGGTGTACGAGGAGGCAAAGGGGCGAACGGATCAAATGGTGAGTTCCATTCCTCGAAGCATTAACCTATATGGTCGTCATCCTTTAGAATACTTCCAAATCCAATTGTCATTACAAATTTCCTTTATTAACTGTATTATAATAATTTGTTCTTTACCTTACAGATTGCAGAAAAGCGCAAAAAGCTTAAAAAGGAGGGTCGGCCCACTGAGCCCATACCCGAGGACGATCCCACCAAGTACAAGCACGCCATCTACGTTATGGTCATGAAACTGTTTGCCGACATGGAGCGTCGGCGGCAGAAGCTCGACCAGCGCGACCAGGAGGAGCGCAAGCGAAAGCGCGAAACGGAAATCGAGGAGGAGGAGCGGATCAAGGCGGACCGCGAATGGCAGCAGAACTTCGAAGAGTCGCGCCAGAGCCGGGTGAACAGCTGGCATGACTTCCAATCGGGTGCTGGCAAGTCCAAGAAGGCCAAGAAACAAAAGCATATGACCGGCATGATGGTTCCACCAAAATTTAAGCCCGAGTCGCGATAATACTGCTTCCCAGCGCGGCGCCACTTCTCCACTATCGCCAGATCACCTCCGCCTACCCGCGTCGCGTTGCACATAATTATTTTTACATTTTTTTTATAAGTTTCCTTTGGAATTGTAATTGACACGTGCATAAAGTATAGATGTAAGAAATTACACTTCCGTCTCGTCTTTCAATCCACAATAAATGGCTGGACCATCTCCGCCAACTACAGTTCTGTGTACAAGGATGCGGTGAATACAATATCTCGCTTGATAGCAGCCGACGCCTCTTCCATCTTGGACTGCAGTCCAGGATTGCCAATCCGAATGGCGGCCGTTTTAACATCACGCAGGGTTTCATTCAGCTGCTGGATGCATCGTACAATGATGCCCTCCTGCACCGTGGTTAGTTGCATAATCTCAGCAAAGGGCTGTCAATTAGATTAAAGTAGATATGCAGATATGAGATTGGCATGATTGTCAACTAGAGATATTAAGGGCCTCTTACCTTATTTCGAGCCCACTCGTAGACAACCTCCAACAGACCAAAGTTTAGGCGATTATCGGTCTCGATGGCTGCCTGGAAGCGCTGCTCCTCGGCCAGAATTGTATCGTTGATCTGCTCAAAAGCCTCCACGCACTTCTTCATCGCCTCTGGTATTACCGGTTTTTCTCGCATCTTCGCCTGGAAGACGAGGCCAGAGAGCAAAGCGGCTATTTCTGCCGGTTCCAGATCGTTGAACATGTTGCACAGAATAAGCTCCGTGATTAGTAGCTCATTTTGGCCCATCTCACAGGCCACTTTTCCCTTAAGCGTGACCTCTTCCAGTTCATCTATGTATTTCAGGGCTCGCAGCACCTGCAGCTTGTTACAGTAGTCCGGATAGAGGGTCAAATTTTTCGCCGAGTTCTTGAAGCGCAGCTCCTCAATGTGGATCTCCAGCATTCGGCGCTCATAAACCTTGGCGAACTCTTGCTCGAATCCGGCAATGTTGGTATGAGGCAGCAAATTGACGACCTGACGATTCAGGTGATCTACGTAGTTGAGCATTGCCACCTCACTGTCAGCGCTCACGATTATCTCCTTGGAGAGATTCACATATTTGATGTTATCCGCGCTGGCAATGTAACTATCGTTCAGCTGGTTTAGCTCGGTGACAGCCTTGACCACCGATGCACCTGGGGGCGAATCCTTGAATCGCTCCAGCTGCCTCTGCTCCCAATTCCGCATAATCGCAGCTGCATCGACTTTCAATGTGCTCTTGGTGATATTGATAATGTCTATGGCCTTGATGTCTAGCACAGTGTGGCCCCCGATTCCCTCTGGCTGGAAGGTCATGTTCCGCGGCGTCAACGAAAGTATCTTGTAATAGAGCTCGCCTTGCTGGAGGCTGTTGCTATCCTTTGCCTTGAATTGGTGGTCCAGCACTAGCACCTTATAGATGGTATCCTTTCCCATGACAGACTTGATGTTGAGTAGAATGGCCAGTTTATTGTAGTGCTTGCCCTGCGTGATGACAATGACGCGCCCAACCTTCAGTTCCTTTTGGATCTTGGCTTGTGTTACAATTAATTTCTAAAATAAATGGAAAAGTGGGGTTCGTAAAATGTAGTTGCGTTTGTACGTAGATCCTACCATGATGCGGTGCTTTTCCTTCCAATACTCGACGGCCTTGTCGTAAAAGTTGACGAGCGGTTGCAAATGTTCGCCGAGTGTTGGAAGCATGGCGAACTTGTCTTCGGCCAGGCGCAGTTGCTTCTGCTGCGTAGGCAATTGCAGCTTCTGGTTAAACTCCTTGAAACTGAACTGCATGATATCTTCCACCTTGATGCTCTCGATGCGCAGACATGTGAGGATAACCGCATAGCGCAGAATAAACTGTGACTGCAGTTTATCCGGCAGGCCCAGGATCATGGGCCGTAGCTCCATTGATGGTGGCACACTGCCCTTGCACATTATGATCGCCGTACCCGTCTCGTCGTGCCCACGCCGTCCAGCTCTGCCGGCCATTTGGATGTATTCGCCGGGTTTCAGGTTACGCATCTCCAGTCCGTCAAACTTTTTGCAGGAGTCAAAGACCACAGTGCGTGCCGGCATGTTAACACCCATAGCAAACGTTTCGGTGGCGAAGAGCAGCTTAACTAGCCCATTCTGAAAGAGCATCTCCACGATCTCCTTAAGAATGGGCAAGATGCCGCTGTGGTGCACCCCAATTCCTCGCTGCAAAGCGTCCTTTAGAACCAGAACCTGCGGAATTGTACGATCCGGTGGCTTCAGCTTGGCCAGACACTGCAAGAAGAATTTCTGCACAGCACCCTTCTCCCTTTCCGTGTTTAGATCCACCGACTGCAGGGCGGCCAAATTAGAGTCACACCGATTGCGGGACAGAGTGAAAGCCACAACTGGCATCTTGTTGTTCCGCCTCAGAAAGTCAATTAGTCCGATCCAGGTGTACTGCTCCTGCTTGGCATTAAAGTGGTTATTTGACCCAGCTCCGCCGCCCTTGGCCTTGCCCTGCATCTCTTTTTTGCGTTCCACGGCCTTCTCGTAGTTGCCCTGCAGAAATTTTCCCTGGGCGTCCACCAGCAGGAAGATGTCATCGCGGCTCTTTTCTCCAGTACCAGTATAGAGGAAATGCGTGAGAGGAACTGGTCGCTTTAATGTGCTAATCACATAGACCTTTCTCTTCTTGGTGCTTCCAACCCAGTCCGCCAATTCCAAGGTATTGGGCACGGTGGCACTCAGCATTATGATGTTAACATGTTCGGGCAGCAGTATAATGACCTCCTCCCAGACATGTCCTCTCTCGGGGTTATTAATATAGTGAACCTCGTCGAAGATCACCCACTCCAGATCCCGCGTGACGTCGCTGCCGCAATACAGCATTGAGCGGAGAATCTCGGTGGTCATGATCAGACATGAGGCGGTGGGCTCTATCTGCAGGTCGCCTGTAATAAGGCCCACATCCTTGAAGGTCTTTCGGAAGTCGCGGTACTTCTGATTGGACAACGCCTTGATCGGCGATGTGTAGATGGTGCGGGTGAGATCCCGCTTAGATAGGGCGATGGCATATTCAGCTACAACCGTCTTGCCAGCGGACGTGTGGGCTGCAACGAAAACATACTGGCGTTGTTCCAGCTTGAGAATGGCCTGCTTTTGAAATACATCCAGTTCGAAGGGAAAATCCATGGCGGGGCTAGGTATCTGTTCTTTGAAGTCATTGATGGGTTGGCTAATGTCCACCATTTCGGCCCAGTCGCTCTTGAAGTTCTTCGTGGTGGTAGAAATGTTCAGCACAGGCTTCAGGTCCGCCTTCATGATGTGATCGTCCACGTCTTTGAAATCCTCTGAAGGAAGTTGCACGTTCGACTGTTTGGCACCTTGAGGGGGTCCAGTGGAACTTGTTCCCTCACTGCGCGTTAGCTTCATCCACTCCTGGACGTCTAGATCCTGCTCTAGGTTTTCTAATAGATCCACGTTACTGGGATCGGCGACCACAGGCGGCAGTGTTACGGATTGTGATTGCGAGAAGTCGTAGCCAGAGGTAAAGCCCGGTGGCACCGTTAGCAGCTTATCTCCGAACTGAAAGTTGTCCACATCCAGAGCTGCGATCTGTTGGCGCTGCTCATCGAATCCACCAGGCCAAAAGGGAAAATTCGAGTGGGAGCCACGCGTCGCCTCTTCCAGCAAA